AAGTGATTCTTCCACACACAACTCTCCATGGGAGGTTGTGCTTAGATGGATAGAAATCTTCTTCCAATTTCCAGATTAAATGTATTCATGTCCAGATAATACCCATTTATTCTCAAATTAACATTGTCCTTTAGCTTAACTAGCGCTTCACCCCACCTGATATACTGACAGATAGTAATCATATCCCCATCAGCATTTGTTTAGTAAGGCTAAAAAAGCCAAGTTCTTTTAGTCTGGTCTTGTACACCAAGCCTCATCATTCCCCTGATTTTCCTACTAGCTCTGCTCTGAACCTGTTCCAGTTTGAATTCGTTTTTCTTAAACATGGAAGACCAGAACTGTAAACAGTATCCGAAATGAGTTCTTATCAGTGCCTTCTGCAATGTCATAACCAGGGCAAGATGAGCAAAACAACTGTCCAGGACAACCAAGCTGTAGGGGTAGAAAAATAGATTGTATGGGAGAGCTCAATAGGTCATGTGCCCCTCCATGATTTCTGGCTTCTACTTACCACAGAGGTTTTCAAAGTGTGGGAGGCACCTCTATGCTATATGAAAGGCAGAAATCGGGGGGGATGAGGCATGTGAACCTGAATGCTCCTCCTATGCATTGCCTCTAGGTGGACTCAAACATATTTGCTTGCTTCAGGAGTGCCCTGTTCTGGCTTGGGTCATTAAGTCTCTCTCTCATCCTAAGATTATCAGGCGAGGTATTTCATTTGTTTTTATTAATTAATATTCTACATTATTTCCACACACTAAATTCAATCAGGACCTTTTTTAAAAAGAGGTTCCTCAATACACATTTAGGAACCTAATTTTAGGAGCTTAGCTTAAATAAGAAGGGGGAGGGTCTGATTTTTCTGTCATGTTGAGCACCCCAACATTGCCAGTGGAGATAACAGAAACACCTGGATATGCAGCATTTTTAATGGTAGGTTATTGTGGCTAGGGTATGCAACCCAGGCTAATAAATATGTCATACTGAAAATCTAATATAATCTTCATCTTAATGTTTTTATTATTTATCTATAAAAGATTGAGATAATTAGATTTGATAGGATACTTTATATACATTTTGTAGTCTGATTATATGTAGAACACTACTGAATTTGGAATGCAAATGAAAGATCAAACTCTATTGACCTAGGACAATGTGGAAATTAATATTCATCCAAGTAAAAAAGATTTTTAAAATAGTTTTAATATTTGCAGAATCTACATTTGGCTGTCCTGTGTGTACAATGGGAGCTCTTTAGGCAAGTATAATGTATATTGATCCAGCTAGTTTTAATTCACTATGTTAAAAAAAACAGAAAAGATTATTTACCATAAAATCAATCACTTCACTGAGCTGATGCTGATGCTTACTTGTAACCGTTTTTTCCCCACAGGAAAGACAGTATCGATTTGCCTTTTACAGGTAATGCAAGATATGCACTATCTCTGACCAAAGCTCATCTGAATAATCAATTCTCCCTGGTAATTCTGAGATACTTATGAAACTAGGCAACTATGAGTGAATTTGGTTTGGTCCTACAACAGTAACATTATATGTTTCTTTACATGAACGGGAATATTATGTCTTCTCTTGCTATTCTATTTAAATTCTTATACTGATTCACTTGAAAATACTTTTTCTTTCATTTTTGTGAGCTTTTGGTTTCTTGCTTGAGTCTTCTGGTATATGTTCTTTTGCCTAAATGAAATTTTATTGTAAAAAGATAGCATTGGTTTCCAGAATACAAAAATATTGGATTTGTTAAATAAGTGATATAAACTGACACACACATCTTAAACTCATGAGTAAAGTTTATGAAGTAACTGGAAGAGATAGACTATCATAAATATACCACTGTTGTTTTAAGTGTTGCACCCATGTTGGTTCCAGGGAAGAAAGACAAGGTGAGTGGGGAAATATCTTTTATTGGACCAACTTCTGTTGGTGAAAGATACAAAGTTCTTCTTCAGGTCTTGAAAAGGTAGTCAGAGTGTCACAGATAAATACAAGGTGTAACAGAGTATTTATCATATGTCATTAACACATATTCTAAGAGACCATTAAATGGAATTGGCCCATTAACACTCCTTCAGTCATAGCAGGATTAGTTGTTTACAAATTATTGTAATAAACCATAAACCTAGTGTCTTTATTAACACCATGATTTTTAGTGTCTAGCAAAATTATGAATTTAAGCACCATGAGTAGTATTTTCATCCTCTGGACTGATAACCTAACTCCTTCATAGATTTCCACCACAACTTCAACAACCACCACCCATCCAACAACCAGTCTCTAAAATACTCTGGCCCATCAGCATCAAGTTCCTACACCGCACAATCATATTCAACAATAGAACCCTACAGACAACTATGTCCAAGAAACCCAAAGATCATCACACCTACTTTCACAGAACCAGTAATACCCCAAACACACCAATCAATCTCTTACTTACAACCAGACCCTCAGATACGATACAACAGCGGTGGGCAGCCTGCAGCCCATCAGAATAATCTGTTAGCAGGCTGTGAGACATTTTGCTGACATTAACCATCCACAAGAATGTCCCTCTGCAGCTCTAAGTGGCCACATTTCACCATTCCTGATCAATAAGAGCTGTGGGGGGACCATGCCTGCACACGGTCAATGTCAGTAAATACCACATGGCACACCACCAGACAACCCTGATGGACCACAACTTGCCCGCTACTGCTATGGAATACGCTAAGGAGAAAGTCCAGGATATATACCTTAATAGCCTTAAAACCACTTTGACCGAAAAAGGACATTCTACTAGAAATGAAGATCACAGCATGGAATGGGACACCCAAATACCCAGAAAGAACCTCTTTAAACACACACACACACACACACACACACACACACACACACACACACACACACACACAATTTTTCCTGAGTGTACACCCTTAACTGTCACCCTACTGAGCCCATAATAGATATCATTAAGCCTTTACAACTATATACATTGGAGATCAAATCCTGAAAGAAATCTTTCTTAACCCTCTTCTGGCTTTCAGTCACTCCCTAATTTTATCAAGTTCATCACCAGAAGCAAACTATTAAGATATTGTTGCTTAACATGTCCTTCCCACTAGTAAGATGACAGAAAAGTTCCTGATATGAAGAATAATGAGATCTTCTCAGTGTTTATTTTCACAGTTGTCACGGTTTTTTTTTTTTTTAAAGAATTCTGCCTTCAAGGATAAGCTCTTCCGTTCAAATCAAACAAACTACTTTTCCACATAAGGGGAGAGGTTTCAAAAACGAAATCTGCCTACGTATTCAAATTAACAAACTAAGTGGACAATTCTGTATTAAGACATTCTTTTGCATTTTTTACCATAACATCACTGAGGGCTGCCTTTTAACCTCATTCCTTCCCAATAAAGACAGCTGAATCCCCAGAATTCACTAGGCTGCCAAGATAGGAGACAGCAAGTTCATTCCAAAGTCATCACATGAATTAACCCTTTCATAAGCTGTAAAAGGATTCATGAATAGGATATAAAAACGTAAGTCTCTCTTTAAAATCCAAAGCATCATATCAGCAAAATCCCTAGCTTAAGCTTTCCCAAGATAGTTTGCTAATCCTTCCATACAACCCTGCCAGGGAATATATTTCTTAGTCTATCATATTTTAAACACAATTTAAAACTTCAAGCTAAGTAATAATGGAAAACTCAATTTTGCCTATTTGGCAGTCCTATCTTAGTGGCGGTGCAGGCCTACAGAACACTGCTCATCGATAACGCACAGGCAGTTGGCAAATAGACTACTACTGATTGATTAATTCTCTCATTAACAAACATAAGATGTTCTGTATCTGAACGATTTGTACACTACCTACGAAAATACATGCTCACCTTACTGTAACTTATCCCCCCTCTGGTTTTTTTTTTTAAGTTTGTTGTTGTTTGGGGGTTCTTTTTCTTTTCTTTTTCTTTTTTTTGAGGGGGGGGGGGGGGGGGAGAGCTACTCTTGGGCATAGTGATAAACTAAACCTGTAAGACCCTTGCACTAAAAACTGGCTTTTACTACATATCTGTATTGTGAATATGGCATCTCATAAGTTGTGTGTGCTTACCTATGTGATTTAGATAACATTTTAACAGATCTTGTTTGCAGCAATAATACATATGTAATCCACACGTAACAGCTATCTGGTAAGAAATTGGTAAATGCCCACTTTTTCACAAATTACATGTAAAGGCCTATTTATACATATTTGTATTGAATACTTAACAATCCAGAGTTGTTGTGTCATGTTTCTAAAATGGGCAGTCCTATGGAGCAATTTATGGACAGATGCTAATATTCAAGCAGAATCCTGCTTATTTCAGTGAGTATTTGTATGGACGTTGCTCATGCAGATATATTACAGGATCAAGACCCTCAATTGCCCTAGTATTTGTTCAAGAGTATTATACAATCTTTAGTCTTAAAACACTAAGCAAAGTATAATTCTGATGTTGCACTACAGTTAGGGAAAAAAGGCCTTAAGTTAGAGACGTAATATTTATTTCCCACTTTGTTCAATCAGTGAGTATTTGTATGGACGTTGCTCATGCAGATATATTACAGGATCAAGACCCTCAATTGCCCTAGTATTTGTTCAAGAGTATTATACAATCTTTAGTCTTAAAACACTAAGCAAAGTATAATTCTGATGTTGCACTACAGTTAGGGAAAAAAGGCCTTAAGTTAGAGACGTAATATTTATTTCCCACTTTGTTCAATACGAGGGACAATATAGGGAAAAACATGGAAAAGAGTAAAAACAAAAAAACACTGATGTAATTCTGTGAGCATCAAAAAACGTTTCAAAATGTTCTAAATGAAAACAAATGTTTCAAATTTTTGGAAGGGTTTTAGCCATTAAAAATTGGGAAGGGTACAAGTGACCCTGGTAAATAGAACTTAAAGATTATCTTCTTACACAGAGAACCTAAAATCCATAAAAAATTACCCAAATTTACCAGCAGATCTTCAGGCTCCATCCCTTTTGAACAGAGGTGGGCAAGATACAGTCCACAGGCCAAACGCAGCCCATCACACCATTTGATCCAGCCCGTGACCTGCCTTGCTCCCAGGCCAATGGAGACCTGCGGGAGGAGGAGTGCACACAATCATTCGCTATTCAAAGCAGCTGGTGGCTGCCTCCCCCGACTAGGAGCGCAAAGTACCTAGAGGGAGCCACCAGCTGTTTTGAACAACGAATGACTTTGCACTTTCCCCTGCCCCAAGTCCTGATTGGCCTGGGGGCAGGGAATATATGAAGTCTCCTCGTGGTGCCAGGGGCACACAGCACCGGGAAGGAACTGCCCCTTTCCACGCAAGGCCCCGCCCCTTCCGGGGGCCTAGAGCTAATCTGCAACCATCTCTCAAAATTCATGAAGTCCCCCCCCCCTGCAAAAATTATTGCCCACCTCTGCTCTTGACCCTCACTGTCTACCTCTTCCCTTAGAAGAGATTCAAGGAACTATCTTCTCCTACATCTTCCTTCTTGGTAAAAATAAAATACTAATAGTCTAAGCAATTTAGGTGACTAAAACAATCTTCTTTAAAAAAAAAAAAAAAAAAAAAGAACCCAAGTCATATAGAATGGGCATGAAACGAGATCTGAGTGATGGTCTGTGTAACAGGGCAGCTGCCCTGTACTGGCCCCTTAAGAGCCAAACCCCAGCCTGGAGCAGGCCCGGGGAGTTCAGCCCAGCTGGGCGGCATTGGCCAATTAAGGCCCAGCTGGGGGCTATAAAAGGGCGGGGCTGCTTCAGCCCAGGCAGTGTGAGCCTGGCTGCTGAGGGAGCAGGACGCTCTCTGGAGCTAGGGCAGGGCTAGAGAGACAGGCTGGGCCAGGGCGCTCGGACGGCCAACTGGCCAGCCTGCTAGGCCTGCGGACAGGCCGGCTAGAGAGACACCCAACCCCCGGGAGGGGGGCGCCGAGCGGGGG